AGGCTGAAAATGTTAGTGTTTTATTAAATAAACATTTCTCAGCGATGGAAGGTGTTTAATGTTTTATTAAGTGTCATTTATTTATCCATAAACCTGGTTTTGGGTTTAAATAAAAGCTTTTTCATTCTTATAATAAAATGCATATAAAAATTATGAAATCGAACTCGAAGGTTATATATCTTTCAATAAAAAGAAAACATTCGACCTCACAGGGATTCGATCTAGCGGTCTTGTAGTGATTGCAGTGCCCCTGGTGGTAACATTTGTCTCTAGTTGATTCTAGCAACGAGCGAAGATAGGAAGTCGAAAGACCAGTTAATCTACCGACTCTGATACTACACAAAAAATTTAAGGCCGAATGGCCGAGCGGCTGAGGTGGCAGCCTACCGCTCTGGGGGACCCGGGATCGATTTCGAACGGATCGAAAATCCCCAGGAATTTTTCGGGGGGTGGTCCGTCCGGATATGTCGGGCCTCGTTCCTAACCACCCGGCCGTCCCGTTGTGAGCCTGGCCGAACCCATAATTGGTCTACTGAAAAGAGGTCCTCTTAATGCCCACAGGGCGGAAAGAGTTTAAAAATAATAATAAAAAACTACACAAAAAATTTTAAGCTTATTTATTTCAATAAATTTTTAAACTGCCGGGAATTTTAATTGAAATGTACGAAATAGAATAATTATTAAAATTTGTACTATTTTTAATGTCTGATCTGGCAATACTATAGTTATTTCGTTTTCTTATGGTCGCGTTTCTTTATGCAGCGCTGCTTGATCGCTACACAGCAAGGTGTTTCTTAATGAAGCGCTATAATGTAGCGAACCGTTTCTAAACGTTTGCTGCAAGGGGTGGCTGCAAGCAAAGTTAAAGCAGCTTTTACGTCCGCTACACGCGTAAAGCAAAATGGACGCTTGTGTGCATAATACGATATTATGCTGTAAAAATAAAAAAGTCGGAGTGACTGTTGATAAAAATATTATGGAAAGATTAAGAAGAATTAAATTTTATAAAATGACTCTGAAAGTTATCTAAAGAATAAAAAAATACTATATTTTAAATATAATTATATATCTTCTATCTCCTTACTTTGTTCACATTTATGGAAAGATAAATGCTCAATTCTTTATATCTTTTTATTTAATTACTGTATTGTAGTTTTTTTTAACTAACTATCTATACTTTCTAGTTACTAGTTTGCACTACTTTCGGCTATAACTGGAATTAAAGGATAGATTACGGCATCCACGTTTAGCTCGAGCGGAAAGCGTTTCTTAAAATGCAGCGACGTGTAGCGATAGCTGCTCGTAACGTCATTTTCGCTACACTCTTGCTACATAAAGAAACGCGGCCTATCACAGTTGCTTTGTTGAATTTCAACAAAGTTTTTTCTCAAATACATGCCATTATTTTATCAGGAAAATCATGCCATAGAAAAACAAAACGTCTTTCTCAATTACATAAAACGCAGCAACTTATTTTTATATTTTTTTATGCTTTTATTCAGATACCGGAACAATAACTTGCTGCCATTTTAAATCTGGTCAGGCTCTTGTTAAATCAGCAGTCAAATTGGGAGCAAGTTATACGTCAGTGGGCTAATGGTTGATTAGGCAGTCTGCATCACCAGCGATGAGTTATCAAGGCTTTTTTTTTAAATTCTTTTGGCCCCGTGGGCCCCAAGAAAGCCTCTTTTTTAGCAGGCTCATTATGGGTTCGGCCAGGCCCACAATGGGGCGGCCGGGTGGTGAGGGACGGGACCCGACAATATCCGAACGGACTAACCCCGAAAAATTCCTGGGGATTTTTCGACCCGTCTGGATACGATCCTAAGTCCCCCAGAGCGCTAGACTGTCACCTTGACCGCCCGGCCATCCGGCCATCAAAGAGTTGACCGGACTATCAGTCGGCCCATGTTCGTGCACCTTTAGGCGATAAGTCAAGTGTCACTAAGAATAGATTACAATTATTCTACAGTAGACCCCCCTATAACGCTTAGATACGTTCCACGCTAACCGAAAATTACGTTGTAGGAACGATTAAATACATGAGTCAATCGCAGCCCGATAGGTGGAAACTTTACGGACTAAGGCTGTTTGAAAGGTTTTCTTCTATAAAATTAACCGATTCTAGACTAATTCCACTCAACATTTCCAAAATACGTATAATTTTTTGGGAATAATCTGTATAAACTATGCTATAGACAAAAAATTATAGGATTACTTACCGAGTGTGTACCGTTCGACTACGCCNTTTCATTTCAAATAATCGAAGTGTTTTATATATAATACAATTTTAATAAACATGCAGAGTTGTCTATCCAGTCACCTATTTAAAAATAATTATGCAAAATTGCAACAAAAATGCTCGTATTACTTTATGACATATTCGACTTTTTACTTCCTTATATAATACATAAATTAATTACGAAATAAGTTATCTACAACAATATCATTTCAAAACAAAAATGAACAATAAAAACATTGTTAAAATATTCAGTAAAAATAAATTAGTTTGTAAAATATAATGAAAAATTTTAGAAAATACGTTAAGAAAGAAAAATGTTGTGTCATAACTCATAACGTAGTACTCACAAAGTGTTTATATATTATTGTATATTCTATCCTTATACAGTATTGAGAAACAATACAGAATTTAGTTTTATATAATGCTGATAAATTAAAAGTTGTCTTAAATTATGTAAAGCATAATTTATACAAATGTTAACTTTTGTTTGATACAAACAAATTATATTTTTTCTGTTATTAATATTCAATTCCGGAGATAATTCAAGCTCAATTGACTTGTGTACATTTGGTTTGGCTTATATCCAACGTATTATAATTTATTCATGAAATAAAAAATTAAATTATATAACTTTTTACATATACTTTCTCAGAATTATCTTAATAAATAATTCTGAGAAAGATTCTATGCAAATTACTTATGTTTAAGCTATGGCATGAAAAGGGTATTATGTCAAAGTTATTAGATCATTACACGTCAATAATAAAATGAAAATAAAATCAAACAAATTTTATACAAAAAAAATTTTGAAAATGAAGAAAATCGAAATCATATTACGCAGGTAAATATATTAAATCTTAAATTTGAGTAAAATAGTTGGAAAATGTCAATTGTAAAAAGATAGATGCTAGAAATCATTGTTTTTTTAATAATTATTTGATAAAATGTAGAAATAAAAGAAACCAAAAGTGCAATTTAATGTGTGAGACAAAGATATTATACAAATATGAATTATACGTAAAGGATAGATTGATGGAAGAGGTGCCTACCGTGAGAACATTCGAGGGAGCATTCAAATATGACGTCCATACTGGAGAAGAGAATATGGAAAAATTTTGTAACGGAATGGGAGAGTGTTAGTAAAATGACGATGTCCTAAAAAATTTTATTCTGTAAAATAATTTTTGATTTTTCTATTTGATTTTTACTAAAAATCGTTTTGCAGAAGTATTTTGATCAATGATCACAGCTCTTGCTTTATTTAAATCGTTGCACTTTAGTTGCAATGCTGCAATAAATACGCTCTGCAGGGTTCACTTTAGTAGAACTTTTAATTAATATGAAAGAATGATGGCAAGAATTTAATCTTTATGAATACAGATTTGATAAAGGTATCACTAGAATATATAATATAATATGTATATATGTAATATATTAACCTATTTTTAGTCTAGGATAAGGTTACCCACCATAAGTTTATAAAATTACCATAGAATCGAAACATTGTAACTGAGTAGTATTGTGGTAAAATTTGATGGATATTCCAGCATTAAGTAGACAGTATATATACTTTTGAAAATAAGTCAATAATTCAAATTAAACTAATTTTATTCAATTATCAAACATTTTTTTATTGCGGTATTGGATTAAACCTATCGTATTTGTTTGAATTATATATTTTAACTAAGTTTTTGTTATAAAACATGGCTTCTCGCATTGTGGACGTAGCCAAACCCATGATGGATATGATTAAAAATAAAATTACTCTTAATGCCCACAGGGCAGGAAAAAAATCTAAATTTTTTAAGCCTGACACAGTCAAATAAATATGCAGCGTTTTTAGCCAAGATAATAAATTTCCAGACACTTCAAAACGATATTAATGCGTTCAACTGTGGTCGAGTGGATGAAACCACCGAACGCTGTTAGCAGGTCGCGGTTTGCGCCTGACAAATCGGTTTGCACTGACGTTTCTCGACTTTTCTTCAAGTGTCTAACATTTATCTATCTATATTCCTCTCAAAAATGTAACCTAACAACACAAAAATCCAAACTGATAAATAGTTTTGACACATCATGTTCACGAAGGACGATTGGATATTCCTAGCATGATAAAATCAACAATTTGATATATATGAGTAATAAATAAATTATATTAATGGCCTTTTGTGAGCACTAACAGGGTCTTTATAATCATATCCGCGAATTCGTCAAGCCTACAAAGGGAACGGCCGAGTGGTGAGAGACGAGACTCGACATATCCGGGACTGACCATTTATGAAAAATTCCTGGGGTTCACCACCCGGAGAACAATTATTTTAAAATAATAATCATTAAAAAACAAACAATTCTAAGAATTTCTAAGCAGTCATTTGTGACCTGAAACTGAGTTGTATTGTTTTAAAGAAAATGGAATTCTGTTTTCATTTGTCTCTGTCTGTAATTATATTTTAATTAAAATTATTTCCACAGTATAAAATAGTCTAATAATTTTTCATTTCAAATAATCGAAGTGTTTTATATATAATACAATTTTAATAAACATGCAGAGTTGTCTATCCAGTCACCTATTTAAAAATAATTATGCAAAATTGCAACAAAAATGCTCGTATTACTTTATGACATATTCGACTTTTTACTTCCTTATATAATACATAAATTAATTACGAAATAAGTTATCTACAACAATATCATTTCAAAACAAAAATGAACAATAAAAACATTGTTAAAATATTCAGTAAAAATAAATTAGTTTGTAAAATATAATGAAAAATTTTAGAAAATACGTTAAGAAAGAAAAATGTTGTGTCATAACTCATAACGTAGTACTCACAAAGTGTTTATATATTATTGTATATTCTATCCTTATACAGTATTGAGAAACAATACAGAATTTAGTTTTATATAATGCTGATAAATTAAAAGTTGTCTTAAATTATGTAAAGCATAATTTATACAAATGTTAACTTTTGTTTGATACAAACAAATTATATTTTTTCTGTTATTAATATTCAATTCCGGAGATAATTCAAGCTCAATTGACTTGTGTACATTTGGTTTGGCTTATATCCAACGTATTATAATTTATTCATGAAATAAAAAATTAAATTATATAACTTTTTACATATACTTTCTCAGAATTATCTTAATAAATAATTCTGAGAAAGATTCTATGCAAATTACTTATGTTTAAGCTATGGCATGTACTGTACATGTTAATCAGTATACAGCATGTACAGAACACTGATTAATTAATGAATTCGCAGATAGTCTATCGTCGATGCATTTTATTAAATAGAAAATTTGCAACAAAATTCTAAATAATTTTTATAATTAGGATATAGAAAAAAGTTTATGCGTTATTAACATTTTTTAATATATAGTCTATTGATTATAATTTATCATCTTTTAATTAATATTCACGTTAATTATCTTTATAAATATCATTCATTTTACGTAAAATAATAATTAGATGCATAAAAAAATATATTTATTACCAATATTTAAGATTTATTGATAACTTTTTTAAGGCAAACAGGTATGAGTCATTTTATTGATAGCATACTTTCATTTGTGATTTACGTGCATACTTTTATTTGTGTCATAAATTTGAACATGCTTCAAGATTTTTTACAAGGTGATCTAATTAACCGTTATTTATTTTCTACATTAACAATACTTTTAAATCTAAATCTTGTACAATAATACAGGACTCTGTACAGAACCTCGTGGTTTACTTAGTAACTTAAGCCCACAAATGGCCGAGTGGATTACTGGTAGTTGGTCATAAGTACGCCTCCTCAACGGATTGGTCACGTGGAATTTTCCGTGTTTTATTAACGTGTCTTAACACTTAAACAGAACCATTTTCCATAGAAAATTCTCCGCGAAACACCCCCTTGGCATATTGCTGAAATGTTGCGTGCCATTTTGTTTTTTTTTTTTTTGTTTTTGTATAAATCCACTTTATTAATTAATTTAAGATGACAATTTAATATAAATTTTTCCTTTTATTCATTTCTTGATTATAAATTATCCATTGTTAGAGAATATTGTTATAACAATAATTTTAAAAAATCTCGACAGATGAATGAAATCACTAAGATTCTTTTGAATTCGAAATTAATTTAAATTATAATATTCAGAGGAAACTAAGTTATGTTTCTATTCTAATTACTAATTTAATTACACGAAAAACTTGTTTAAAGACCACTTATGAAAAAATTAATGTAACTAAATATCGTGTAATGGTATAGCTTAAGAGAAAAAATACTGTAACTGTTGCACAAGGGTAAAAGGGGCAATTGTCTGGTCCTCCATCAACAGGATGCTCCAAACCAATATTTCCCCAAAAATTTCCCCTGAAGAAAAATATCTGAATTCAGCACTAAGTTACATTAAGACCTTCTAATTCAGATTTGCCTGAGCCTCATGAAACTATAACGCGCTACAGTACTGTAATTAGGTTTACACTCGTAGTCTAAATCGGTAATAAAACGTAAAAAAGTATTTATGAAAATAAGTACAGTATTAAATTAAATATTTGTAGATATGCTGTCGATAGCTATCTGATAATTAATTAATTTAATTAAATGTGTTAAGTTTTTAAACTATATATACGTACTGTACACATTTTAGACATGTTTGTCAGTAGTTTCAGTGTGTATCATGCAAATTAGTGTCGTTTTATTAGGCTAATATTACTCGACTGAAAAGAGCCGAAATGCATTTTAGGATGGCCAAAAATGTAGATGTTTGTAGTACAATTAGTAGAGTAATAAAGGAAATAAAAATAAGTCTCAATGGATGATAAGCCCTTAAATAAGTACTGATAAATGGTAAACAGTAAATAACAATTTAATAATAAGTGGGTTAGAAACTGATTAAGAATTTATTTTTCCTTTATTAAGTCCAGATTACACATTACAGATGGAAACCTGTCATGCCAAATTAACTCCTTTCTTATGAAAGTTTTTAAATTACACCAATAAAATTATTATGTAACCAAATTCTATCCACGCTCTATCTTACTATCAGTGGCGCGTTATCTATGAGCAAAAAGTCAATTGTCTGGGGCCCCCACCCAAAAGAGGGTCCCAGACAATTGCCAGACAAACTAATCTTTTATACTATATAACTGGATTGCTGTATATTAAATCTCTATGTAATACGTCTCTGTAATCTAACAAATGGTTTTGAGAATAAAATTGTAGTTCCTAACTGAAAATTCGCTGTGAGTCCGTCTACCATTTGTTGGATTACAGAGACGTATTACATAGTAATCTTTTATAAGAAAATATTTCCCCAAAAATTTCCCAGGGCTCTTTGAAGTTACAACGCGCCAATGTTTACTATATATACAGCACTAGTATATTATGATGTAGACTAGTATTCAGTTATAAACGATTTGTTTACATAAGGCTTTTGGAATTTATTAGGGTCTATTAAAAGAGATGTCAATGCTCCTTCTGCATGACCTTGTCCTCATTTTATCCTTGGTATTCAATGATATTATCTTGTAATGATTCTCAGTTTTGCCTATACCTGATAATCTTAATTTTGTAGCCAAATTTTAACATGCATAAACCAGGCTTAATTCCCTGAACTAACATAAATCTTGTCTAATTTACAATCAAAATTCGAATTTATTATCGAATGACATTTGAATTAAAATTAGGTCTATATTCTAATTAAAATGTTAAGAAAAACTTACTTAATACCTGTAAACTTAAATATATACATCCCAAAGAATTTTTAATATCATTTAAAGTGTCCTTACCCTATTAACATCCTTGAATACAGTTGCGCGTTATAGCCTCATGGGTCCCAGGCAAATTTAAATTAGCGGATCTTATGTACAACGTTGAGCTCAGACATTTTTCTTCGGAAGGATTTTTATGAGAAATATTTTCTTATAAAAGATATGTTTGGGTCCGTTGTTGGTGGAGGCTCCCAGGCAATTGCTTTTTTCCCATAGGATAATGCGCCATTGCTTGAATAAAAAATATGGTAATGTTCACCAAAGGATCTGCTGAGAATGTTGTATATATCTCTTCGATTAATTATGAATATTGAAAGTGTCCTACTGAAAAACAGAATTTGAAGAAAAGTCCAAGCTAATAAAAAGTCATTTTCAATGTTAAACCGTAGAAATTTTTGTAAAAACATCACGTAAAAGCGCTTATTATTAATCTGTTTTCAGGAACCAATTTTTCGTTTTCCATTGATTTATTACTCTAAATTTACATGGTAATTTTCTTATTATGTAAATTTAAAGGCGTGTTTTGAAGTAAATTTTACAAATTAATTTAGAATAAACGCTTGAAGACAGGTTGACTCCAACACATTTACTCATTTCTCATCTGTAGTTATAACTATGAATTAATATAGTAATTTAAAATCGCTATTTTTGGATAAAATTTGTGTGTTTAATTACTTAAATCATTAAATAAGCGTTTCCAATTATGTATTTTATATCTGTATAAATTTTTTTAATTTTTCAGCTACACTGTAATGTGCGGAGTAGTTTTAACATAATGATATATCCTTTTTTAACAATGATTAATATCAGCAAAACGTGAGTAAAATGTTAAATTGAAGTTTTTCCTTGTTAATATCCCTGTAATCAAGCGGTTGTATATAAAACATCCATAATTTATGTGCGTTTGAAAATATGCTAGTCGCCACCGTAAAATTTCAAATTGAGAGATTATACAATGCATTAAAATTACTTTTTTTTGTTTATATTTGTTCAAAATTATTAAAATCTGAACAGTTTTTCTTAAGTATTTCTCTGTTATATATAACAGAGGGAAAGTATGACGATCGGTCAAAAAATGACCTTCAAGATTTTTACATTTTTGGACTTAAGACAACTTGAAACGTCGAGAAATGCAAAAAAATTCGGGGGTAATTTCTGTATGTATGGATGTTAATGTGTGCGTGTGGGGTGTACGATTCTGTTCACCATGTTTGAGGCTTTTTGTTGAGAATTTCTGAAATTTTGCCGGGAGATTTGTGTATTAGGAGGATTGGTGTTATTAAATTCTGATGGTTAAAGGTCGAGAGGGTGGGGAAATAATGGAGTTCATGTGTATCTCCAATAGGGTCGGACTTAATGACGATTTTATTCGTTATTAGCATTTACAGTTTTTTTTTTTATAAAACTCATCCCTATCCTCAAAATTAAGCTTTATGCCATTTTATAATTATTAAAAATATAAAAAGATTTTTAAAATAAAATATCGTAACAGATGGCTCCACACAATTTTCAGTGTTTTTGCCGGAAAAGTTATGCAACTCTGCTGGATTTTTTAAAATGATTTTCCTTGTTTACTAGTGACAACATTTGTGTAACTGAATATTTATCATGACGTATACAGTAGATTCTAATAACTATTGTTTTATTTTATGTATAAATCTAAAAGTCATGTTATACTATTATTCTGAAAATTAAATTAGTTAAAATTTAGGAATATTATTATATATAAATTAACAGAGAGAGAGGGAGAGACATGCATTCATTTATAATATTAAAACAAAAAGAAATAAATAGATAAATAAAAAATCAGAAACAATGAAACCTAACAGATGTTTAAAAATTTTATTTATATTTTACATGACATTTATATTCTATTCGATTTCACAAGAATTATTAACGTTTTGACTAAAGTATTTAACTGATGTAATAAGTCACGTGTATCTGCTACAAAACTTTTTATAATAAAAAATATAAAACTGATTACAATTCGTCTATATATATCAGTTAATATTATCATGGAATAATGTTTCATGGGATAAACTTGTAATAAATATTAGGTTTATAGGTCTTAACTCCGAATCATTATTAATGTCAAGGTTATAAATGTGAAGAAAAACTTTCAGCGTGTTTATTCCCGCCGTGAAAACGAGAGAGAGTGAAGTGAGCTGAAACAGTATGAAAATCGAAGGAATATTAATTCTAGTTTTTCTGCTTTTATTTTTAGTGAATATATCAGAATCTAATGAAGGTAACTCGACAGTTATTAAGGATAAATCCTACGAAACCTTTAAGCACGCGGAACTTTTCACTCGTCAACTTATCGAAAAAGCTTTAAAATATGTTTTACCCATGGCTATGAGACTTAATTCCGAAATTAAAATAAATAAAAAATGTTCAACGAGTTTAATGAAAGTGTTTTTTGGATTACGTCGATTGAAAAATTGGGCTCTTAAAAGTAAGTAGTTAAATGTTGATGATTTTTTTTTAATTACAAGACATTTTGGTATATTTGGTATTTAATATTTTCTTTATTAATTAATATAAATTTATTAAAACTTGTAACGAATAAAAAAACATTTCTAAATTATTCAAAACTATTTATGATGAAATCCCAATCCAAATGCAAGTAAAAGATTGTCAAAAATATAAAAAAAATATTATATAATTTAAGGTGTTTAATAAGCTTATATAAAATGTTTATTATTACCTTTTTTATTTTTTATAGTTTTATTTTAAATGCATTTTATTAATATGTATTGTAATTTTATATGGGTCTGTGTGTTGTCAGGGTTGTACTTTCTAGTTCTATTTCATTAAGGGTTTGTGTGTTTTGTGAGACAATCTTCTAAGATATTACTGATTTTTGTGTAAGAATAAGTTTAATATAATATTAAAAACATTAAGTTAATTTTCAATATAGTAGTCTTATATAGGCTAATGTACTGTACAATATACTTTCTACTCATAACCAAATTTAAAGTACCAAAAACTCTAAAGTTTCAATTAATAACTCGAAATTAGTTTTTCCTATTAAATCTTTATTTTAAACAGCAAAAAATTTCGGAAAGAAAAATGTTAATGTAAGTTCGATACGAGCTTTTAGTCAGTTAATCTGTTAAATAGTAGTATATAATCACACGAGCCTACTGGCCTTATTGTTATAATTATCAGAAGCTGTATGATAAGCCTGATAATTGCAACAATAAGGCCAGTAGGTTCGTGTAATTATTTACTACTATTTAGTGTTACTATAAGGCTATATTGTTGCTTCAAACTATTTATTAGATATTAAACTGTTAAATTAAATGTTTTATCAATTATAATGTTAAAAATGATAATATTTACTATTTTAATTAATATCTGAAATATTCTGTTTTTATTAATAAACGCTTTTATTTAATTTGCTTTGCATCATGTCCTCAAATCTCGCAAATCAAATTCACTCACAACTGAAACTTTGAGGATGTAACTATCAATAAGTTCGATGACAATGCATTTTAATAATGTTTTAGGGTGTGACCCACTCAATTCCTCATCCCGAAGCTCGATAAATATAATTAAATGTAGAATTTAATGCGTAAATGCATTATAGTGTAACGTATATGTGTTTTTTAGAGTGGCACCACTTCATAATCTCCTACCAGTGGCGCGTTATGGCTTCATGGGACCCGGGTGAATTTGAATTAGGGGGCCCACGTACACTGTCGACTTCAGACATTTTTCTATGGGGAAGTTTTGAGGAAAATGTTTTCTTATAAAAGATTTGTTTGGAGCCTCCTGTTGGTAATGGCTCCAGGACATTACTCTTTTTGCCCATAAGCTAAAGCGCCACTGTTTTATTATTAATTATTACGTAATTACTTCTTTATTTTGTTCGAAAAATGTATTAATAATTACGTTTACGAAGATATCTAACTAATTCATTTCATACATTACTTTTATGTCTTATTAATAAAATGTATCATTTTTGATTTGGTTAGGCCTACACAATGCTTTCTTGAGTGAATTACTGTAAATTATACTGTAGTCGAATTAAAAGTTAGTGTTTTTATAACTTGATTTTCTCCAAAATAAATAGCCAAATATAGTTTAGTATTCAGAATAATACAATTATATTGTATTGTACAGAATTTAAGCAAAAATACATTAAAATTATAACAGTTGTTTCTTCCAATATACATAATGTGATATATACTGTTTACTCTATATCAGTGTTTCTCAACGGAGGCGATATCGCCCCCATGTGGGCGTTTTTCCATGTTGAGGGGTGATTTGTAACAATTTATATTTTGGGGGGCGAAAAACAATTTTCTGGGCGATATAGTAAAACATTATATTAAGATTAATTAAATATTTTATTCGTTATATCGTACAATAATTAAACGAATAACATTATACTAGTCAATAGTCTATTCAATGCAGTACGAGTTTGGCGTTAGCCCTGGCTCACGGCATCGGAATTTTGAAGTGAAGGGGGCGATACTACGTAACGGTTTTATTGAAGGGGGCGATACTACGTTGAAGGGGGCGACGATTCGTTAGAGGTTGAGAAACGCTGCTCTATATCATCATTCTATGCAAAACTAGATTTAAACATTTAGTGGCCCTAAGCTATGACATACAAGAGGCCCTACATCATCCATCAAATAACGCTGAATAATACATAATACTACTTTTTTGAGAATGGCGCGAGATCCTCTCTGGCATCAAGCCCTAAGCTATAGCTTATTTGTAGACTCAGTCTTACCTCATGGGCGTTAAGAAGGCCTTTTTCTATACCCATCATGGGTTCAGGTAGACTCGAAATGGGGCCCCGGGTAATGGTAGACGGCGCCCGATATAACCGGAAGCACATGAAAAATTTATGCGTATCTAAACCGAATTCTAACCCCGAGCTCTGAAGTTTCCTCGACCATCGCTGTACAATATGTATAAAATATTATATAACATACGTATAGCTTATGTATGTTATACAGTATAGTATAGTGTTATATATGTAGTGTATAATAATAATGTTTTCATCAAGAACAGCATTGATTTCTATACCATTGATAGTAGACAAACATTTTCCTTGAAGCTAAATTAATTTAGTTTTATGTGCAATTTGTCACAATTTTTTTAAGAATAATTATTGTCTAACGGTAAGCGTAGACAATTCAAAATAGCATTATGTATTAATATTCTAGCTGTAGAAAGTAGCATTTTTCATAGTATTAATTTTAAAAAAATGAAGAAAAAATTGGATAAAGCGTTTTTAATTAGCACAGTTTTAATTTAATGCAAATAAAAATACTATAAAAATGTATAAATTGAAGTAAAGAATTGTGATAGAATGCTTATTTAACAATTAATCAAGCTCAAATTTTTGTCAAGAGATGCATAAAAATTATAATTCATTCAGCAAGAAAGTAGTTGGAAAATTTATAAATTTATATTTTGCTTCATTACAATAAAATTCTTGATGATTAATTAATCATATTTATCATAAGCTATGCAATAATTAATATTCTAGGATCTTCTACAACAGTGAAAATTTGAAATATATATTATTGTGAAACGAAAACTTATTTAGAAATTTAATTTTATGCAATGTTTATCTTATAAAATTTGAATAATTTTATGTGTCTGAAGTTTTAATCTCAAGTAAACTAAGTACAAAAGTGCAGAAAATAGAAAATATAAAATGATATTTTACAAATCTGAATTGAAAAATTGTGTAATTGTTTCTTTAGCCTTGATTACTTAATTTAGTTGCCTCCTATTTATTGCAATTATTTCACACAAATAAATTGTTACTGAATATAATTCGTACGTCAGGAATGATTTTAAAGTCATTTAAAACTATTTAGGTCGATCGTATGAAAGAAAAATAAAAAAATATGTAACTTCTGGTGCTAAAAAAATTACAGATTTCCGACTTTCCTTGACCATATTTTTTTAAGAAACGAAACAGAGAAGTAATTAGGACAAAGTTGAGTAAGGTAATGATGTATAATAATTACCTGGATAAGTATTTGGTAACGAAAGTTAAATAATTCATAATCAAAGAAACGAATTAAACTAGATACTCATTACTTTCTTATCATAATTACAGTAGAGCATCGATTATCCGACTCACTTGGGGACTGGGGTTGGTCGGATAACTGAAAAAACGGATAACCGAAAAATATGAAAAAATACATTATTAGTATAGTATATTATTATATCTCATGTAATTAGTATATTAGTATATCGCTATTAACCTACTTTGCGTTGAATTTTCATCGATGTTAAGCCTAACAAAAATTTTTTAAAATAGTACTTTCTAGTTCTATTTCATTAAGGGTTTGTGTGTTTTGTGAGACAATCTTCTAAGATATTACTGATTTTTGTGTAAGAATAAGTTTAATATAATATTAAAAACATTAAGTTAATTTTCAATATAGTAGTCTTATATAGGCTAATGTACTGTACAATATACTTTCTACTCATAACCAAATTTAAAGTACCAAAAACTCTAAAGTTTCAATTAATAACTCGAAATTAGTTTTTCCTATTAAATCTTTATTTTAAACAGCAAAAAATTTCGGAAAGAAAAATGTTAATGTAAGTTCGATACGAGCTTTTAGTCAGTTAATCTGTTAAATAGTAGTATATAATCACACGAGCCTCAGGATTATAATTATCAGAAGCTGTATGATAAGCCTGATAATTGCAACAATAAGGCCAGTAGGTTCGTGTAATTATTTACTACTATTTAGTGTTACTATAAGGCTATATTGTTGCTTCAAACTATTTATTAGATATTAGACTGTTAAATTAAATGTTTTATCAATTATAATGTTAAAAATGATAATATTTACTATTTTAATTAATATCTGAAATATTCTGTTTTTATTAATAAACGCTTTTATTTAATTTGCTTTGCATCATGTCCTCAAATCTCGCAAATCAAATTCACTCACAACTGAAACTTTGAGGATGTAACTATCAATAAGTTCGATGACAATGCATTTTAATAATGTTTTAGGGTGTGACCCACTCAATTCCTCATCCCGAAGCTCGATAAATATAATTAAATGTAGAATTTAATGCGTAAATGCATTATAGTGTAACGTATATGTGTTTTTTAGAGTGGCACCACTTCATAATCTCCTACCAGTGGCGCGTTATGGCTTCATGGGACCCGGGTGAATTTGAATTAGGGGGCCCACGTACACTGTCGACTTCAGACATTTTTCTATGGGGAAGTTTTGAGGAAAATGTTTTCTTATAAAAGATTTGTTTGGAGCCTCCTGTTGGTGATGGCTGGTAGCCAGGAAGGCTAACCAGATTGCCAGCAGCCACAGTTATGCTGCAATTCCCGTCTCTCACGTCTGGTCGGCCATCCACAAGGCACTCATCACTCTTTGGCAGAAGGAATGGGACACCAGCAAAACTGGGAGAGTGACCCATAACTTCATCCCCAACATCGAG